AAAAAGCGTCCCACGCCCTGAAAGACCTTCCTTGTGAGGTCCCGACCTCTTTCCGTGGGGGGGGGGGACCACTCAAGTCAGTTTGAGACTCAACCATTAACGGAGCTGATTTGAATGTTCGGATTGAACAAGAAGTTCCACCGATATCACCAGCGAAGTGATGATGATCACCACCTTACTTAAGTCATATTCAGAGAATGAACATAAGTTCATATAATTGCAAAGTATCATTCTTGTATTTGTATTTTTTTTGTATTTGTTCTGGTACTTTAATCGCGTCTCCAAATAAATAAAATAAATAAATAAATTCTTATCTCAATCCAGAATCTAATCATAGATGCACTTTCAGATCTGCTTTATTTTTCTTGGCGACAAGGGTTTTTCAATAGGACCAGTAGTCTTCAACATGTATACCTCTGCCGCATTTTTCATGTTAGTTTTAATTTCTAGCTAGCGATTTGAATGCGAAGCTGACCAAGGAATGATGATTTTCCAAAGGTGTGCGATTAGCATTCTGTCGGTGATTCTCGCGAATACGGTGTTCGTAGAAGACTACGTTGGAATAATAAGCGACGATGAGAAAAAAGGTGAGGATTGAAACAGTACAATAGACCATCGAGAAATATTATTATGGTTACCTCTTTCCCTTAGTATCGGTCCTTTGCTATCGCGGAGACGGCTACTTTTGAGAAATGTTGCAATTACTCTTATCCTAGGTATCTTCCAGAAACGAGCGCCTCCTTCGGGAAAACCATATTCAGAATTTGGAGTTATGAACTTTCAAACTCCTGCACCCTTCTTGAGCGCCCACCCGCCATTAGCAGAGTTGTGCTCAAGTCATGCCTGTTAGAGTAACCTTGTTCAACACCCACTATTCCAACTTGAGTGTATATTTTCACTTAGATTACACTCATCTTGCACGCATCCTTCATCAATGCTGCAATCCTGCCGCCTGTACTCTTATCGAATCTGAATGCTCTGGTCAACAATTCACAGTTTTCGCGCAAGCCCCTCCTGCTGGGAGTCCTGTCCTTCCATCTGCCATGAGTGGGTTCAAGTTTTGCAGCCTGAAGTTTAACCAAAATTGAATGCTTTATAACCACCAGAGCAAGACTTATTCCATCACAACGGTTTCAGCCACTGTCCTCGTTCTCTTCGGATCTCACCCGGCGTCCACCTTTACCTTCAGCGTGTAGCCTGCTCTGGAGAACAACGTGAACAGCTTGATCCTAGACCTGTGCCTCTTGGCTCCACTATCCTGCCAGAAGGAGGCTCGCCTGCGAAATGGCACCATAGGCTCATCTATGCACAACTCCTTCTCCGGTTTATGCATCCTCCGAAACTTAGCGTTCAAGTAGTCGAGAATATTTTGAATCTACAATTTGTTACTCCTGTCTGCATTGCTATTATCAGCAGAATGGGAGGTTCGTTGAAGCTGTTCGAATCAATCTCACACCATAATGTCACCGACTATGGAATGTCCGTCTCTCGCTAAATTTCTAGGTTTCAGTGACCAACAGTTCCGCTGGTTGTTCAAGAAGCGCCGCGACATTCGCAAGCAGAGACCAAAAAATTTTTTGAGTTCCTCAATATATGTCTCTTTCCACGATTGACTCTTCTGATGGCCATATATATTTGTTGTGCCGCAATCATCTCAAGCAGTTCCTCGGAAAAGAACAGCTATTAAAAAGTGAAGAGGGAAGAGGGAGTGAAGAGGTATTCCACATCTTTATGTACTCCTGTCGGCTTGTTGAAAATCCATCTATCATTGCACAATGCATCGACAGTCCAGGTATTATCTTCCACGTCAGTGTCGCTATCACACTCGTCGGTATCATCTGTATCAAAGTCTGCTTGATCCCGCAGGAACAAATTCTTCTTCTTCCTCGCTGTCAGACAAGTCCTCGGCTTCGCTTCCGAGCAGTAAATCGTCCAAACATCTGTCCAGGACATCAGCATCATCGGGCATAGAACCCATATTGGCGATTAGTATTGGTATCCCAGAAGTGCTCGGGATCATTGTTATCCACGACCAATTTGGACTCATTCCAACCATTCTTGCCTTACCTCTAATCTTGTTCCCGCCAAAAGTTAAAATAGTGCCCTCTATGAACGTTCACTATTCAAAGCTTCATACAAAGCTTCATACAAAGATCTACAGAGCTCCATGATTTTGGCACATTTACCCGAATCTTAACAGAACACATGTTTTTCTTTAGTATCCAGGAGTTTTCTGTTTCACACAAATAATAGCATACTACTTATGGATACAGTAAACTAAATATGGTGTCTGTTCCGTGGGACGATTTCGGTCAATGGTGACCGACGATTAGTCAGCGCTTTCAAACAATCCGCCCCGTTGGCGCGCAAACGAAAATTGCTCTCGTCGTCGACGTTTCAAAAGAAGGTGACTAACACTTTTCAGAAGACCCGTTCCTTATCATTCCGAAGTTCGATCGTGTCGCTGTCGGTCTGTTGTTCTACATGTGGTGGATGATGTGTGGAGTAGCGAGCAGTGGGGGGTTTGTTGTTATTCATCATGCTTGAGTCATCCTAATAAAAGTTCCCTGGTAGAGGGCACCTTCGATGTGGAAGGTTTGATTAATGGAAAGCAAACAACCCAGTGAGAAAAAACTTTTCAGGAAATTGTAAGCGGATATAAAGGCAGGCACGGGTTAACAAGTGAAATAAAGAAAAATCTGAGGAAAGTTAGAAAAGAAATAGAAGTAGAGGCAGGCAAGAATATAACGAGTCTATTTATCAGGCACAACATGCAGATGTACCCCATAAACAAAGTGGCAGAGGGAGAGTGAAAATAGGCTATCACCTCAGACTCCCGCATCACAGTGAAATCATTAGAGGAAAGAGGAAGTAGACACCACCACCCAGCCCCCAACACAGTCTCATAGGTCCCTATAGGTTCTCTGATGGCCATTACAAAGGAGGGATGTAAAACTACAGCTTCCCAAAGACATCTATTTGCTATGGTCCGTAGTAGGAAGCACCAAACTTTGTATCAGTCATTCATTGTGATCTGTTCCAATCATCCTCTATAAAAAACTAGACTGATTCCTTTTCCGTTTCTTTGTGAGTCCCATGTTGGTATTTGTCAGAGGACCCTAGGGTATTCACGGGAATCACTTAGCTCTTTTAGTTGGCAGGGACCGGCTATGATCAGGAGGGAAAAGAAAAATTGTACTGGAAATGTAGGTTAAAGCTTTTAGATAGATGTTTGAAAGTAAGGAAGTTCACAGATACAGCTCCTGTATATAAACTTAAGATTATCTGCTCCTATAACAATGGCAATGTATGACTGGACTAGCGAAGAGGCCATACTGTACAATGGTATCATTCAAACGATTTCGTGCGCTGTATCCACAATAAGCTATTTCATCATTGGATCGACTCGTGTAGGGCGTTGGTAAGGCAATTTTTGTAGCTCTCCTTTCACAAACTGTGTGGTAAGGCCATCTATGGTTTCCAGGGATCGCCGGATTCACCTCACGCTAGGATTGGCAGGTTTCATTTTCTACCACTTGTGCCATTACCCCATGCCATTCTATGATGGACCGTTAAATCAAGAAGTATACGGTAGGAACATTTTTCACTTCTATTGTACGTTCAAAAGGGGAAAAACGACTATTGTAAGAATTTCTCGAGTTTTTGAATAATGGGGGGGGGGGGGGGGTTGTGCATAGCGCTAGTGATAACTTTCAAGACGGTAGTTTTGTAATGCTTAGCGCATATCCATTCTGAATCCATACCATTTGCTAAGCACCTTTTCGGAATGCCTAATTCAAGTTGTATTTCATTGATAACTTCTATAACTCCTAGTAACGGGAACTGCATTTTCTTCGGTAAGATGTTGCTGCAATCGTTCTGCACTGAATTACGACAAAGAAAATGAAAAAAAGCTGTGGAGTAAAATAAAATATTTACTTGATCCGGTGTTTATGTACGGAACGTTCTTGCTAAGATGTTTCTAAAACAATAGAATTAAGTGAATGGAACGCTTTCGTTGGATGGTGGAGGCTGCTCGCGTCAGTATGATTGGTGCTCATACACACCAAGGTAATAAGCACTCTCTTGCTCTTCTTCTTTGCTATATTTCGTACTGAAACTGAATCTTTCAGAGTTCCAAAGGCTTTGTATCTCTTCAATGCGGCCATTCTTCTCGGCTTGTGTTTTCCACTGATATCAGCACCATGTAACACCCTATTATCGGAGATCCTAGGACCGCGGAAACAGGTACTGACCGAACTGTCTGCTTCAGCCGAGGGCCTGCATTTCTCTCTCAATGGGACGCTCCAATAAAGGACAATAGCAGTCGCTGATATCAGACTAACTATTAACGCACTCTGACATGCTTGATGCGTGCCCCGCCCGCCATGGGCGAGGTCCTATTCTTATTGCGCTCATTTTATCTTCATCGCTCTCTCCCTCCATCCTCCTCCGCTCCTGACCACCTATTGCCTATCGGGAGGAGTTCAACTGAATCAGTTCCTACCTGCTATCATCAGTGTTCCCATCGCGTCGTCTGTACTCCTAACACCCTAAATAGCCCTTGAATGCTCTAAATAAAAATTAGCAACTTCGCTCACCCTCTGCCCCTGTCGGGTCGATTCCCGCTACCTATCATCAGTGTCCCCATCCAGCTGCCTGTACTCCTACCAAATTTCAACAATCTGAGTCCGAACTAGAAACTTTTGTCAATGCCCCACCTCCTGTCGGCGGCGGAGTCCTACCACCTGTCATCGGTGTCTCCGCCGCCTTTACCGGAATCGAATTTGAACGCTCTGTGAATCGAATTCGAACACACGCACAAACACAAACACAAATTAGCGCGTTCTGTGGAGTGAGATATTTTAACCACATATGAGGCTCGCGAGTGTGGGTGCTGCAGAATGTAGGTCATTTTTCTTACCTGCATGTAGGTGCAGCTAGCTGTAAATTTTCATTCTATTTTTGTGACAGGGGCTGCGAGAGGTTTCAATTTTCGTTCACCTTTTGGTAAATCTGTTGCATGCCACTTCGATATTATATGATGCGTTCATTTTTGTTCCACTAATATTGGCCTAATTTGTAAATTGGACAGGGGTATGGGTTCATAGTGCGTCCGAGGAAGCGCGCGGCAAATTGCGCGGCGAAATTCGTGACGGTCCTAACGCCTATTATTGGGGCACGAACTTGAAGTAGGGTGCTTAAGTAAGGTCAGCCGATCCTTCTAATCTACTGTTATTTGAATTTAGGCCTCAATGATAGGCGCTAAAGTTGTTCAAATCGCCACGAACTTTGCCGCGCACTTTGCTTCGCGCTTCCTCGAATGCACGTAAGTTTCGTCCCCCATCGGGCAGTGGTTGAAACTATTACACAGAAGAAGTTGGACGGAAATGGACAGAAATTGTAGGGATACTAGTGTTTGCGATATAACGCTACATGTCTAGCAGCAGAAGCTGTTAGTTGATGATTCATGCCTATGGAGGGGCTACAGAACGAGGGGACGGGATACAAGACTAGAAGATCTGAAAGGAAAGCAGAAGCAGTTCACCAAATCATGTCGAGTGCGGTGATGTTGTAGAGTGCGAGGGGCTCCTGCAATAGAAGAGGTGAAGAGAAGATAACAGGAAGGAGTGTTTACCGGGAGCAATGAGAAGACATTTCTGTCGGATAATCACCCACTTAAAGGGAGGGAGGACCATTTTGCGCGTCCGTCGAAGCCAATCACCCCGCCCACTTCGCGCGTCGCATCCTACTGCTATCTCGAAATGACATTACAGTGCAACAAAGTGCCATTGGAGCGACTGATTTGCACTAATCCGTGCTAGCTTCTTTCGAGGCTGACCTCCTCGAAGCGACCTGCGCAATGGGCGACAGGCACTATGTGGCTTGCCCGAAGCCGCTGAGCCAGTGTCCACCGACTATTGTACAAGTCAGGGCACTATACACCGCACTGCTCATGCGCTCCGTGAAAATCACTGACAGAGTGGTAAAGAAAGACGGCGCTGTTTTCCCTGAAGCATCTCTTGCTCTCTGTCCTTTTGCACCGTCTCTGTAAAANAAAATGCGACCATTGATAGCCTTGTAAGTGTATGCCAGCCCCTCGATGCCTTGTCTACCATTTTGAAGGGCGATTTTCGTGCATTAACGAGTCATTTCCCTCTTTGGTGGCTCTCCAGTTTGTGATTTTTTCATTTCGGACTGTTACGAGTTCGTTTTTGACGTTAGAAACTATAAAGTTAAGGGACGATTTTTTTGCCCAGACCTTTACTAAGAATAGGCAGGGTTAGGAAGGAAGTCGATGGAAAAGCTGAAAATTGGTGGAAATGCTGGTAGAGGAGCGTAGGAATATTGACTGATGTAGTCGAAAAGTTTAAGCCAGGGAAGGGCTGAAAAATGCTCAAAATATGAAAAATGTTTGTGCGATCGGCGGTTGGATTTCCGAGTACACGCAGCCTGTTGCAAGTGCGGGTGGAAGAAGGTCAATTGATACGGCTGAAAACCTACGGTTGGTCACCGGAGTATACTCAGTAACACCCATAAGTGAAAGCGGGGAACATCCATTCCGCGAGTCCGTCGGAAGTGGATCACCCTGCCCGGGTCTCCATTACAATACTACTGAGTCACAGTGGGGCGAATGATTTGCACTGGTCCGTGTTATCTTCACTTTGACATGACTGCCGTGGACCGGGCGTAATTCGATTCTTTGACAAACGTCGCAGCCCCGCTGGCAGCTGCGACGTTTGTCAAACATCACGGGCTGAACGCCGCGTGCGACAGCTGAGGCGTGTACTACAATATTTTCGACGGATGAGCGAAACGAAGCGCACTCATCACTTAGAGGCCCAATACAGTGCGTTTCATAATTATAAGGTCACCCTCAATTTTTGCACTTTCAAAAAAGTTATCATTAAGCATTTTTTCTAGCATCGTGAACAGATTCCCCAGTATGAATAACCTAGGTATCCTTTCTTAGCCACTGCTGCATTCTTCTGAGCTTTTTTAGAACAGTTTATCGGTTTTTGCTCCGTTTCATAAATATAAGGTCACCCCGAGAAAGTGAACAATTATTAACGAAAGAGAGGAAATTTCGTGTTTGAAGATACTTGTAAAGGTAAGCATGTGTAGCAAAGGCATTTCTAAACCTGACTGTCAACATGGCTCGTGGTCATCTGCTTTCCTCTGATGAGGAGGCTCATCATAAAGGTGGGCTCAGTTCTCGAGCCATCTTCAAGCAAGTAGGGAGATCCCCTTGGCCCATTCAAAGATTTCTAGAGAGCCCTGATATCTCTAGATATAACACCGACTGTGGACACCCATGAAAGATAACTGACCGTGATGAGCGGAAAATTCTGAGGACTGTTTCCAACAGTACGTCCTCCTTGAACCAGATCCGATCGGAATTAAACCTCTCTGTTTCGAAAACTACAGTCTGGAGAGCAGTGAGAAGATGCGAGAACATCACCAGGCAAGCAATGGAAAAGGTGCCACGAGTCACCGATCGTCACAAAGAGGCTCGACTTGGATTTGCAAAGATGAACCTAGGGAGAGATTGGGCAAAGGTAGATCTGCATCAAAATCTCACCATGGAGCTGAATAATTCCTATTCAGGCCGTCGCAATTTCGGTGGAAGAAGTCTATGGTGTGGGTTGCATTCTGCAATGATGTCGTGTTGGATCTACCTGTCGTGANCTGCAGTGTGTATTGCAAAGATTACGAGAACGTCTTGGAGCATCATCTAGTACCCTTTCTATGCCATCGCCGTCACCTCAACTATGTCTTTCAACAAGACAACGCCTCCATTCATGTGAGCCGTGCAGCGGATGAGTGGCTGCAGTGCCAATAAATAAGCATCCTGCCATGGCCAGCCTGCAGTCCCTATCTCAATCCGATGGAACATATCTGGGGCATAATAGTCAGACAGGTTTATGCGAATAAGAAGCATAGAGAGCAATCAATGTGGAACTCTTCGAAACTTAGTTTCTAGTATGCCACCCAGGCTCTTTGATGTTGCTCTTAAACAAGGAGGAGCTATAGATTATTAACTGTTGTACATATGTATTAACATTGATAATTCATTTACTTTCCCAGTGTGACCTTATAATTATGAAACGGTGCAAAAGCCGACACTATCTTTAGAAAAATTCGTAAAAAATTTGAGGTGAAGGATATTGCGACCAAAATTTGAGTACGGAGGTACATTGTGACGAGGAATCTATAAGTGTTTGCCAAAAAATTCCATCCCGGCTGCTTTCTCCAGAATCGCAGAAATCTGGGGTGACCTTATAATTATGAAACGCACTGTATCTTCTCCTCAAACAGTTGATCGCGCTTCCCGCGCCCGCCGCGTATCGCAGAAATACGATTGAATATTGGAGCGCGCAATCTGTGAAATAGCCGTCCCTTGATTATTTAATCCTAGTGCGGTCTTGATAGTCGATAATAGAGGCGGAGTCGTTCCGCCAACAACCAGTCCAATAAACATAAAAAACGAAAAACAAGCAGAAGTTGACAGCTGAAACCAATCAGAAAAAAAGGAAGGTAAGGAGAAATATGGTGTTCGGACGATTTACCGAGAGGCGGGAGGAGTACGGTATTCGCAGTTTGAAGCCACCAAAAAAGACAACTGAAAAAGTTTCGCCGCAAAGCGAAGGTGGGAAATTGGGTAGAAGTTCCGTCACCCATCACCTAGCAGCGCTATAAACCACAATAGCAGATTACGAAACCGTGTGCAGCATCGGAGTAGCATTAAATTGTATGATACAACAACCCACACGTAGAGCAACTAGTAGATTTTTGCAGTGCTTGCAAGCCCCCTATGACGGAATGTATAATAGAATTCTCGTATCGTAATCCCGTCAGACATAACCAAGGTATAGCCGACTTGCGCAATCGAGACGTTTTCAACACGTGACTTTCCCTTACACGAAACCCACGAGATTCTTTCTTCTGATGGGACTCGTTCTCTTTTTACCCTTAGAAACATCATTAATGTATTCCACGTTTTTACTCAACCTCTACAGTTATGATCATATGCCAGCTCTCTCTACGCGACGCACGTTCATCCCTCGTTTAAGCCGCTCCGAACGCTCCGAAAGGCTGAAGAACAAGAAATCTGCCCTGCCAATCGCACATCTTAATCATGTGTGGTTTTGAGTGAGTTTATCAATCAAAAAAAGCGATATGGGAAAGATGAAA